CCGAATGGCACGCGTGGGGAGCAGATAGGCTTTAAAGGGTGCAAAGGTCACCTGGTAGGAGCCGCACCCCTCTCCTACGCCTCTGGTTTCATGAGAATGTGGGGTTCGCTACTCAGCCAGAAGGATTGGACCTCGTCCACAAAACAAAGAGCACGCGCAGGGTCTGGAGCCTTCTCCGCGCAGGATGGCGGGTGGTGGTTTTCTCGCCTCCCCTGAGAACTAAGAAGGCGGACGTTGCCTTTGGCCCCGTGACACCCCGACACACACGCCCGTGAGATCACCCGGCGCAGACGCCAAATGCCTGTCCCGTACCATGTGGGAAATAAAACGTGCTCTCAGGAAATCCAGAGGTTAGAGGAGGCGCTGCTTGGTTCCAGGTGGTCCCTGGAGCAGATTTCCTGTGCTGTGGTTAAGAACCAGCCCTCTCCTAATACCTTTTCAAGATGTCCTGGTCCTTGCCACCTCTTCGGGTGCCTGTCCTTTCGTTCTTTCCCCATCCCCTACCCTCTCCCAAACGTGTGGTTCGTCATCTCAAGGTCGTGGGCCAACCTGCCCTTGTTTTTCAGAGCAGTGTGCCGTCGTTATGGGCCTCTGCTGATGCCTTAATCGCCTGCGTTCACTCATTCCCTGGGCCCGAAGTGAGAGGCAGGCTTCCAGACTCAGCACGGTGACCTCCGACAGGGTCCGACTGCAGCGTTCTGGAACGTGGAGACACGCTCCCTGACTGTTGAGGGTGTGTGAGCATGTCACATTTCTTGCTGGCGACGGACAGCCAGGGTTTCCAGAAGTTACATGACTTTTGAGCAGAAACCTAGATGTGCTGGGGGCCATGAAGGAGGGGGGAAGATGTCCCTAGAGCCTGCTGCCTGTGACTGGGCTGCAGAACCACCCTGTCTTGAATTGTTTTCCTTGGGCTTCACGAGAGGGTTGGAGGTGAAGGAGTTTTGCAGATTGTAAAGCGATGTAGAAATTCAAAGACTCGCAGGTGTTTATGCATAAAAACGTGCATCGCTGAAGTCTCTGGCAGCAAGAAAAAATGGAAGCTAGCCTAAATATCCAGCAGTAGGGAGCTGGTCGTGTGAGCAGTCTGTTCACCATCCCACGTGATGAGTTCGTAATAACACGAGGGTGTTTCACGTATCAGTTAGGATAGCGTTCGGCTGCAAGTAACAAAAACCCAACTTACAGTGACTCCACCAAAGAGGACGTGTGCATCTGTTGTGTGGCACAGAAAGCCCACAGCCATCCAGCCTGGGCCAGTTCTGGAGTCCAGTAGGGCCGTTGAGGAACCAGCTACTTCTGTCCACTGCTCAGGCCTGCTTAGCAGTGGCCATTGTGTTGTCCACCTTCACAGCTTCATCTCAGAAAGGCAGAGGGTTAAAGGAGAAGGGAAGGGGTCCACGGCAGCGTTATCTGCTCCCTTTTCAAGAGCATTCCTGGAAGCCCCACTTTCTAGTTCCACTTCGACTTCAGGGGCCAAACTTGGCCATCCCTGACTGCAAGGGAGGCTGGCGTGGTAGTTTTGGAGGCCAAACGCAGAGACCAGACTGGCAGATAGGTTTTCATCCACCCACTCTCCCACCACCCACCTACCCATCCATCCAACCATCCACCCACCCATCCATCCATCCATCCATGCGTTTCCTGACAGCCAAGTCCTCTCTGTATGCACGTGTGTGTGTGGGGATGTGTGTGTGGGTTTGTGTCACTGTCACTTGAGTCCTGTTGCTCCAGAGAAGCCCCTTTGTATGAGACTCTATTCATAATATGATGGGTCCCTTCTCATGTATTTGTGTGTTTTCATCTCCTCCATGAATGTGTGGGTTCGTCTCCAAATCAAAATCTGTGCCTCACAAACTTGTTTCCATAGCATGTGTAAAGGAAAGCTTTATCGCTGTCCTTCAAGAAAACAAAACCCCCTTCCATCTTGCCAGATTTTTCAGGAGTCTGAAAAACATTGGTGGCGTCTTCCCCGTCAGAGTCATGTGTTGTAGAATATTTCAGTGTGTTTTTAGTGTTTCTCTGGAACGTTAACATTTGGAAGAGCTGGACATATTTTACCAGGGGAGAGGAGACACAGGCCACTCGGAATCAGGCTCCCAACATCTCCAAGCTCATCTTGTGGATGAGAAGAAAGCCCAGAGGGTACCACGGGGGCCGACGGTTGGGCCAATTGGGAGCCCGAGGATGCCAGGCTTCAGGGATGTCTGGACGCTGGGCCACCAGAGCTGCCCAGTGGTGAAATTCACTTCCCAGAGAGGTGCTGAGCACCTCGTCCTGGGAGGCATTCAAGCAGACCCTGATAAGCGTTGGCTGCAAAGCTATCCTCAGGAACCTCATGGAAGGGTCTCTCCAATCAGAAGGCTGGATTGCTGAGCTCTTGGAAGAGCAGGGAAATTCTGGGTTCCTTGTGGCGCTAGGAACGGGAGCAGCAGGGTACGCCCCTTGAACAAAGCGTGAGCTGGGGCGAAGTCTAGCTATAAGTAGCCTTGCTGGCTGTTATTCTCTGTTTCCGTTTAACCTTTACAAAATGAGAAGAAGAACGATCAAGGGCGAGTGTCTGGGTTGTTTTTCTTCTCTTTGCTCTCTTGGGTTCTTCAGACAAAGGGGCATTTTAGTAGAGGACTGGGAGGGGCTGGGAGGACGGGGCTTCCCAAGACTGGAGACGAAAAGAAAGGCGAGGATGAGACATTCCAAGGCTGCCAGTCCAATGTGGTGTTCAGGACCAGCTGCGGCGATGAGAGGAGAAAACCCGACAGGGTACCCTGGTCCGCAAGCGACACCCGAGTCCGTGTCTTCTTGTCCCCCCAAGCCCACGCTGACACACACACCTGCCACCCCTCCGTCCCACCACTGCTATTTGATTTTTTTACATATATATATATAATAAGCAGACTGTAAACAAATCCCTCCTAGAAATCAGTCTTAACTGCATTACGCATTCACAAATCACTGGGGGTCTGGTCATATATTTCCCAAAGAGTTTTCAGTTCTGGTAAGTGTAGTGAACGTATTAAATAAAGCAGTTCATGTTGAATGCTGAATTTAAACTAAACTTAACACTCTATGTATCAATGACTATTCATCGTAAAATATAATAAACCCAATGACTGTGAGAGGAAAAAAAAAAAAGTTGGGCCAGGAGTGGTCCAGCCACCCGTAAGGTCTGGAATGCCGGCTTCAATCAGGCGACAGCAGGCCTTGGCATGTCACAGCCCACTGCCTCATCTTACAAATAAAGTTTTATTAGAACACAGCCATGCCCGCGGATGTATTGTCTTGGCGGTTTTCATCCCACCACAGCCGGGTGACCAGCTGCGACAGACCACATGGCCTGCAGAGTCTGAGACATTTACTACCTGGTCCTTGACAGAAAAAACATGCCAGCCCCGGGCCTTGAGCCGTGGTTCCCGGTCCTGGCTCCGAGTCGGAATCCCGGGGGAGCTTTAAAAATACAGATGCCCGGGTCTAGCCTAAGTGGGTTTGCAGATGGCCGAGCTCGACGTGATCATCTACAGGGTTTCTCCCCAGGGACGATGACCCAACCTTGACCTCAGCGTCAGCGTGCGGTTCTTGCGGCCTGAGCTGTGGGACTGTGGCATGAGGGAGACTGTGTGATGACATCCCTCAGTCACGCCCAGTGACCAGGCTCCCCTGAAAGTGTCGCAGGTGGTTCCCACGACGGTGAAGTGTGTGGCATGCACGGGTGTGTATGTGTACACGGTTCGTGTACGGTGATGACTTTTGTTTGTTTTCAAACGAACGGATGCGTTCAAGGATAAGGGGGTGTGGGTGGCGTGGGTATCTGTCACGTTGTCCCCGCTTGGTCCCCAGCTCTGGTGTGGGTAGCCTCTCTTGCTCTCGTGCTAACTACCAGGAAATGTGGGTGACACGTCCAGCTCCGGAGAACGTGTCGCCTCTTGCCGTCCCCGTCACGGTTTCCTTTGTGATTCTCCTGCCCGGGGTGGGAGTTTCAGTTTGTGCTGGCGTCACCGTCTGTCGTCAGGTCGAAGTCTCAAAAGCAGGCACGTCGGGACTGGCTTTGCCCCTTGCGTTTCAGGAGACGAGAGCCGCCTTGCCTTCCTGTCTGTCTTTGTTGCCCGCATGGAGCCGTCCTGCCCGTCCTATCTGCCGCCCCTCGGGGCCTGTGCTGCTGGACACGGCACCTGACTGCCAGCCAGGGTGACCAGTGTGTCCAGGCTTACCCGGAATTTCCCCAGCCTCAGCCCCAAGTGTCCCGAGTCCCCAGCCACCCCCTGAGTCCCGGGCAGGCCGTGGCAGTGGGTCACCCTCATACTGGCTCATCTCCAGTGGATTGGCCCTTGCACCCACGGGAAATCACTAGCCTGAAGGGTGTGGGGGGTTGAGTAAAGACAGATGGGCTGAAAATGCAACTCAAGGTCATTCGTGGGAGGCTGTGCTTTTAATCTCCTTTTTAAAAATAGCTGAACACGAGGGCGCGCGTGTTCTCCTTGTCGGGACTGCCGAGCTCTGTTCGGAGGGCAACACACGGGTCAGCCTCGACCCTGCCTCTGAGCCAACCCAGCCCCAAACGGCCTCTTCCCTGGGGCCTCCCTGAGACACCGGTTCTGAAAGGGGTTTGGCCAGCCCGGGAAGCCGCCGGGAGGCTCGGCGCCCGGCGGCGGCCGCCAGCCGCTGGCCACATCACTTCCTTCTCTGAGACTCAGTTTCCCCATCCGCACGGGAAATGCTGTCGTTCGCTGTCGAGGCCGTGGGAGGAGCAGAGGCCGGCCTCCCCTTTTCTGTCCTTCCTCCTTAATCCTGGGGCCTGGTTCTCACTCAAGACGCGTTTGAGCCGTGACTGTGGCTTTCCGCAGTGAGCACATCTTTCTCACTCAACTGTCCGGCAAGGGCAGGAAGCCTCCTGGGGTGGCTTTCTCGGGTGCTCCTGGCAGAGCTCGACGTGATCATCTACAGGGTTTCTCCCCAGGGACGCACAGGACTCCAGCCGGCTTTCCCTGTGGCTCTGTCTCCCCCAGGTCGGTGGAGTGCCCTCCAAGCGCTGGGCACAAGGTACGGAGCACTCGTGTGGGAGTCTGTGTGGAGCTGTGTCTGGAAGTGCCAGGCCTGGAGCTCACCTGCATTCTGTAGGCCGGACTGAACCCACGCCCCTGCACGGGAGCCTGGGCGGCGTCGTGGGCTGGGCGCCCAGGAGGAGAGGGCAAACACGGGGCAGGAGGGGTGGCCGGTGAGCCCCTGCCATGGGGACCCGTGGAGTTGCCCACCGTGAGCGAACGCTGCCTGTCCACGTGTGCGTCACTTCGTGACAGGCAGACATCCTGAGAAATGGGTTGCTAGGCCGGGCTCGGTGGCTCAGCCTGGAATCCCAGCGCTCTGGGAGGCCGAGGTGAGTGGATGGCCTGAGCCCGCGGGTTTGAGACCCACCTGGGCAACTTGGCGAGCCCTCATCTCTACCATAAATCAAAACTAAGCCAGGCGTGGTAGCGCGCGCCTGTAGTTCCACCTACTTGGAAGGCTGAGGGGGAAGGATCGCCGGAGCCCAGCGGGTCGAGGCTGTGCTGGCCGGGAGCGGCCACTGCCCTCCAGTCTGGGCGACAGAGTGAGACTCCAACTCAAAAAAAAAAAAAAAAAAAAGTTACACCAGCTAGTGTGCAGAAGCCAGACTACTTTGCTGAAAACGTTGGCATAACAGAAATCACCTAATCTGTGTTTCTGGACAGGTTGGGGATTTAGGGGTGATGCGATCAGGGGCCCAGATGCTGAGTCTCGTGGAATGTGGAAAGGGAATATTTTCTCTCTCTCTGCCGGCTTTCCCTCCTTCCCTGCATCTGTCCTCTCTCCTCAACCTGGAGCCGTGCGGACGAGGGCGGTGTCTCACCATTTATGCTCCACGGAGCCGCCAACGTCTGCGACTGGCCGGGCGTGCGGGGGAGGGTCCAGGGCCAAGTGCATCCCGTCGCCACTGCAGCTGGCCGTGTCGGGCAGCCGCCCGGGTGGGTCCCGTCGCCCTGGCCCGCCCATCTGGGTGAACGTTCAAATCCCTCTCCTAAGCTCAGGTTTTTATGGCCGGCTGGCGTCATGTGTCGTAAATCAAGGTGGGCCGAGGCTTAGCACTGAGGTTAGACGTTTCACCCACAGGAAGACTGGAACGGGTTTATTTTTTTATTTTCGTTACAGGCACCCGTGTTTTATATATATATGCAGCTTAAACTTAATTTGGTGTGTAATTGGGACTAGCTCTTAGGACCCCTGGGTTATGTGTTCTGGAGAAGCCGAGAAGCAGGGCGCGGCGGGGCAGGACGTGGTATGTTAATTGGTGGCCTCTGGGACCCGTGAGAGAATTGGATTTAAGTCCCTGGTTGGACTGAGCTTGGCAGTTTTATTTGCGTCTCTGCGGGCACGTCCAGGGGAGACCACCGGTCTGCGCCGGCTCGAGCAGTTTGCTGGTCTTTCGCCCCAGGCCCGTCGGTGCGTCCGGCCTGCACGGGGCACGAGAGAATGTGGCAGAGGGCGGGGAGGGTCTGGCAGGCCTCCGCCAGCCTCTGCCTGTGGCTGTGGTTGTGTGCTGCTAGGCCCTGGGTCCCAGGGAGGGTTTTGCGTTTTATTGCCAAAGTCCCGATAAAAGGGACGTGGGTCAGAGCAAACACGCCGGGAGGAAAAACAAAGGAAATTAAATGCAAACGCGCTGCCGGTGGAAACCACACGGAGGCCTTGGCTTTCATCCCGCCAGAGCCGCGGGGGAAGTGGCCCCCGAGAGTCGGAACCCAAGGACGCTGGCCTGGTATTCCTGAGGCCCGGCCCCCTCCTGTTGAAAAAGAGATTGTTGTTTAATTTGTTTCTGAGTTTTATTTCTCGAGTGAACCAGCATGGGGCCATGTGTAATGAGGTTGTGTTTCTGGAAGGTGTTGAAAGACGGGTACAGGAGCGAAACCGCCAGGCAGCCACGCCAGCAGCAGGGCGCGGGCCTCTCCTCGGGTGGCAGTGGGCCCTGGGTCCCAGCACCCGGGCTGCGGGGGCAGCCGGAGCCCCTCGGGGGCTCTCCGAGCTCTGTGCATGGTCGGGCATGCCACTGTGTGGTCTGATGGCGGGCCGGCCGTCTAGGCGCCTTGCGACGGCTCGCGGGAGGAAAGACATTTCTCCGCCCGCTGTAAAGATGCACCCAGGCCAGCCCGATGGCGTGCGCCACGGAGGACCCTCCCGACGAGAGGGAGGCCAAGCCGTGGAGACAGGGCTGACGTAGCGGGAGGAACGTGGCGGTCCGGGCTGCGGAGGGGGCCGCTCAGACCAGGCACGGGCGTGTCTGCAGGCTTGTCATGAGGTCGCGTGCGCAGAAGGCTGGGCCAGGGAGCTCTGGACTCAGGAGCATCCGAGGACCCCAGAACCGGTGACCGGCGGGGACTGTGGCTGTCCCCGGCTGCAGGGTTGGCTCTCTGTGCTGCGCAGTGCCATGTGGGAACCAGTGCCAGGGGCGTGGGAGCATGTGCGTGCCCGCCCTCCTGGAGGGGGGAGGGGGTCTTTACCCTCCAATGACCTTCCCATGGTGACAGGGAGAACCCACCAGTCACAGTCAGGGCTGCCACTCCCTCTCAGCCAGATGACCGTGCTGTCCAGTCTTGGGTAACGTGTGGTCCACCCAACACACACACACACACGCACACACACACACCTCTGCCACCAGCTCTGACCCAGGCTGGCTTCTCCTCGCCTCTGCGGCTGCCAGGCCGATGTGTCAAAAAGGAGCCAGTTTCAGGAGGATTGTTAACGGCGGACACTGTGGCGTCCGCAGGCCCGGGGTGCCCGGGAGGTGGCCATCAGTTGTCGCAAAGGTCCAGCTTGTTTACTGAACAACTATTAAGCGCCTGGCCTGCAACAGCCCTGGGAGGAAGGCCTGGTCTCAGTTTCACAGAAAGTCCAATCCCCTGTCGAGACAAGCGGGGATGACAGCTGCGTTCTGACTCACGGTGTGCCCAGCCCGGTTGAGGCCTCCGGACACTTTATCCGCGGAGACCTCATCACGGCTGTCCCCTCCCCTCGCGCTCCTGGTCACCTGCCTGCCTCTCCTGCTGCCCGACGTCCTGGGGAACAACCGCCGTCCGGCAGCCCCGCCTCACACCCTGGCGGAGACTCTGCAGCCCCGAGGTGTCTGGTCCTCGTGCCCTCATGAGCCAGGTCCCATGATTCCTGCTGTGCAGGTGGGGAAACTGGGGCCCTGGGAGCAGAGCTGACCCTGCCCGGGCCGCACAGAGGGCACTGCGAGCGGAGGCTTCTTGTGACCGAATCTCTGCTCTGTGGGAGAGTCGGCGTTAGGAGCTGCGGGGTGGGCACACAGGCCCCCTGAGGGGATGCACCTCAGTGCTGCTGGCTTTTGGGCTAGATCCTTCTGTGCTGGCATCTGTCCTCATTGTGGGATATTGGGTGGGGTCCCTGGCCTCTCCCGGCTAGATCGACAGGACACGCAGCATTGTCTCCCGGGAGCAGATGTCCGGGTGTCCCCTGGAAGCAGCCGCCCCGGGCGAGAGCCCCTGGCGGAGAGCTAGGCCTTGAAGTCCAAGCGGCCGGGTGTTCCCGGTGTGGGGGGTGGGTGAGGGATGCCGGGAGGCCACGGGACTTCCTGGAGGGAGGAGGGCTTGGGGAGCCGACCCCCAGCCTGGCAGAGGAGCAGACGCCCCAGGAGGCCCCCGCAGAGCCCTGAGAGGTGTGCCGCCGCGCCCAGGCCGGCCTGGGTTCAGATCGCGACGATCCACTGAGCGGCCGTGTTCCTCAAGCTCCCTGACCCCTCAGGCTCCTCATCTGTGAGACGGGGGCGACGCGGGGGCCGCCGCGTGGGAACGTTCGAAGCTTGCGAAAGAGACAACTTGTGGCACAGGCAGTGGCGGTGCTGGTGGCAGGCCCTGGCTGTCCCCGGGTGGGCGGGCCGGGCTGGCCCGTGGGCCTCTCTCCTGCTCTGCGGCAGTCTGAGTGGCAGGGGAGGGTGGGCTTTTGGTCTCCCCCTCTGTGGCGGGTTCAGGGGCTGCCCTGGGGTCTGTGCCTAGTACCCCTGCCTCCGTGTACCTGTGCTTCCGTGCAGGTGTGTGCAGAGATGCAGCCCTGGCATGCCCCCGTGCAGGCAGCATCTCTGACGTTGAAGACAGAGGGTCCCAGCGGACCCCTCTGGGGACCTCAGAGAATGTCTCCCAGGCAGGAGCTCTGAGCTGCAGTCCCCTTGGGTGGAGCCCTCTCGGGAGAGTTGGAGTCCTCCCAGCTGTCTGAACTCAGTGCCTGAACCCACTCGGAGGGGCCTGCCGTCAGGAAGATGCCTTCAGACACAGGACAGAAGATAACTATTTTCTGGCCCTGCGCCCGCAAGCCATTCCCATGGACATCCCTCTTAATGGTTTCAAGGGACGATGGAGCCAGGAGCCGTAGCCGCATCCTGGGGCCTGTGATGACGCCTGTGTGTCTGGCTCTGGACTGCCCGGTCTGTCTCCCGTACCAGGCTGACCTGCCCGCCCGCCGTTTCTCCCCTGCCCGGAGACGACCGAGACGTTGTGTC